ATACAGTATATGGAAAGCATAGGATATTGTCTTTACCATTGCCAGTGAAACATGTTCTTTGTAGTTGACCCCATTTACACATGTTTACACCTCAAACTGAATCAAATTGCTTAGATGGGCGCTCACACCACTGCACACGCACACACACACACACACACACACACACACACACACACACACACACACACACACACACACACACACACCACTGCACACTCACACACACACCCCTGTGATTATCTGCACTGCTGTCTGTCTTATTTTACTTGTCTGTACACCTGCACCTGTATTGTATATCTATTAAAGGAAAATAAATTACATTTCACAATAAAAAATACATGTTTTGTCATTACTCACAAAGAAAAAAAAAAGTTGGACTGGCATAATGCTATAACCAGGAAAGTCACATTGAAAGATCTCTTTTCAAGCAAAACCTTAGCCTGGCCTTAGCCATCCGTAGCACTCGGTTCAATCATCATTTCACTGCATGTAACGTCTGGGTCTGGTCCCTGTGTTAGTGAATACAATCGGTTGAATTTCGACCGACCAATCAGAGAGCGCGGAAGGCGGGTGTTGTAGTTAGTTGTGGGTGACGTCAAGAGTTTGCGTCGAACAGGCAGGTTGTAGTTTGGTAATGGCGAAAAATGTGATAGTAAAGTAATCCAGTCTGGTTCTATCAAGAAATTGAAGCCGGAGCAAGGGTAATGTTTAGCAAATGTAATCGCTGGAAAAACAAATTGGCGCTATTCCCCACGGGCTCCATTAGCGGCAAAGGAGATGGCTAGGCTAAATGCTAAATACTAACAACAGACTCGGGCGCACTGCATAGGTCTCGGTAAACTCAGATCCAATCATTTCAATTTGCAAAAGGAGTTAACCCCTCCCACCTGTAAACAGAGTTCAATGGAGCGCCTGCAGACCTTAGTACGAAATGTCATTTGTACTATGGTGTGGTACGACCAGGCAAGCAAAACTTGGCCAAAAGACATCACCATCCCAACCCTTGATATAAAACTGACGGTATTAAACAATGACAAGTCAATAATTGCATTTCCATGTTGTCATTTTTCTGTATGGTCCAACATGACACACCAAAGATATCAAGATATGTGGGGCTAAAAATCACAAATGCACTTATATAATGAATAATGTTTTTCCATGTTCAAAAGTAGTTCTTCTGCCATGGATCTCTCCTGGTTGAATGAGGGACTACACTGGATAATGTTTGTCCTGTGTGTGTTCACAGTTCTTTTAAACCTGTGGCATTTTTGTTTGTGAATAATATATTGTGAACCTTTTGTAACACGTCTTAAGCTAAAGTAGAGAGACATATTTCATCTTCCTACTGTAATCACAGTCCATTCAGCACTGCTTTTTACACTATCGGTGATGGAGAGCTTCTGAAAGCACCAGAGACCAGTCCGATCAGCATCCCACAGCTCTGGCCCGTCGTCTGGCAAGACAACTCCCAATAAACCCCCCTGACTTGCACTTTTCTGGGCTCGGGTTGGCAGTGTGCCGGGCCTGAGTAAGATAAATGGACCTGCTATGTTTTCTCTGCTAACCTCCACCACATCGTTGCTAAACTAAAGGGTTTCCATCCAGGCCTGTGCAAGGAACGGTGTGGAAACTGAAAGCAAAGCAAATGCATTTACAATCGGCACACAGCTATATAGCCAGGCAGGGAGCGTGCACTGTAAAATGTCGCAGTATAGAAAATGGCTTTGGTTCAAACTAAGCGCTCTTCCCTGGTGGAGCGTGGGTGGCTGATGATGCGGGAAAATAAAGTAAGTTTTAAATATAGTGTCTTTGTGTCTCTATAGATGCGTGTTATGGAGAACATGGCACTGGCTGAGGCTGTGTGGGCAACATGTGAAGGAACACTTTTGAAGATGGTTTTGGTGCCAGTTAAAAGACAACATTAGGATTATATTGGATTGTTATATCTAATGGATTATACATGCATTTTGCACTTTTCAAAAATGTAAATGTGCAATCAAAAAACAATAGTGTGTATACTGTATTAGCTCGTAATAGATACAAACTTAGATTTTCACACCTTAAATGAAAAATATATACTCATAAAATATCTAGTCTGCTTTATTTTGGTCTCAAAATGGTTGGAACCTGTCTGAGCGGGGTTACTGATGTGTCTGGGTCTCCTGGAAAAGGCCTATCTGGGGTCCCTCTCCCAGAATGCTTAGGGGTGTATTAAACATTCATGCTTTAATTAAGCCGTTTTACCGCTGCTGCTGCTGCTGCTTACGGCCAATGATAAAAGGGCTGCTCTTGGGGAGACAAATGTATCAGGAACCGTGCAAAAGGCATCTCAATCTGAGGTGCAGCAAAGTTGCTATTGTGTATTCCTGGCTGTAAATTGTGCTTGAATCCCATTTTATTCATAAAGTCGTCTTGTCTTGTCTTCTTTTGTTGTTTAGCATGGCAGACCGATTTCTCACTTTAAACCAGACTAAATAATAATAATGCATAGATTTTATATAGCGCTTTTTTGGACACTCAAAGACGCTTCACATTCACTGTGGCACCTGGTGTTCCCAGAGGTTAAGTGTCTTGCCAAGGACACCATGACAGCAGATATCCGTGGGGGTCGGTGGAGAAAGTCTTGCGGTGGCTCGGACCCACAACCTTCTGGCTCAAAGGCCAATGCTCTACCAACTGAGCTACTGTCACCCTAAATGATTATCAGTCACAAAAAAACTCAGACATACTAGAGATTTAAACTGGCTTCTTGCAATATCGTTCAGATTATAATTTTTGAAACTACACTTTATTCTGCGATACACATACATGATTGCCCATGTATTGGATCGTCCAGTTAAGTCCCAACTCACTATAGTAGTTCCGTTTTTTGATGAATGTATTTTCTTATTTTTTGTTGGTTAAGTCATCTTTCTACTAAGTGCTTTTCACCGACCAGGGTCATTCAAAGCACTTTGCCATGTTGTTGTATTTTTCCATTCACTCCACACAGTATAGACAGAAGCCGGGCTGTGCAAGTTTTGTTGTGGTAGGGGAAACCAACCACAACAACTTAGATAACCGAGGCTTACCGGGTTAAATACAAGAGGGCTAAGCCAAATGAACAGTAAGAGAGAGACACACACAGAATGCAAATAAAATAAGCTAACTAAGTCAAAGCTGCTAAACGGTCAAAGCTCAACGTTATGAGAGTAAGAAATGCTAACTTAAATACAACTGTATATAACACTGAGCTTTGACTCCTTCCCCCTCTATAATGCCTTATTTGGGACCAGTTGACTTTCCCTGCTCTTCAGTCTGCTACAAAACTAAAAGTACAAGTCATATTATAAGGTGAATGAAATGTAAAGTTAGGGTAATTGCAAATGTTAACAATGTGGAGTGGTGGCAGAAGAATCCACCACAATAATGAATGGTGGCACCCGAATGACTTCTGGACTTTTGTTGTTGATTCCATGTCAAAATTCCCGCAAATGTGTGAGTGGCGTTCTGTCAGCTGCTGCAGAATTTTACACTTCAGCAGCTCTTTGGACAAAACCGGCCGAGTCGTCGTTTTGAAACCATTTTCCCCTCAAAGGAAAGTGCTCCATTATTGAGAGACTGTGGCGTATCTCTGCTCTCCACGTCTCTTTCACTCTGGAGACATTTAAATTGAAAAATGCACTTTTCCTTTTGTATTGGAAGAAAAAGCCTAATCATTTAATAGCATTTTGTAATAAGACTTATCAGTAAAATAGACTTCAATGTCCAAAATGTCTTCCTCTTCGTCTTAACCAACAATGGGGACGTTTTTTACAGTATTAAAAGATTAAAATTTGAACAGTTTGTCCTCATAAAAAGAAAGTAAAATTGAAATGTGGAAAGAAAATCTGTCGCTGTGATGTTGTATGGGAGTGGTTTTAATAGTGAGCCAAGCACTTATGTTTAGTTTTAATGACGAGGGTGATGAAGATGAATTAGAGCAGATCAAGCCTCTATATCTATTTTTCTACGTCACCCCACTGCAACCTTGACTGGAACAAAGCATGCAGACGTCCTTGGAGAAGAGTCATAATGAGCTCATCCAGGAAGTTTTACCACTTTTCATCTTCTGTTATTTGCTAAAACTCACTCTACACTGATTTATGTTTATTTAAATTATTGTCCAAAAAAATTGTATTAGCTGACTAATATTATGCTTTTGTGTGTCCGGATATGAGCTACTATTTCACACTGATTATTTTGTTTAAGATGAACATGGTGTTTTTTACTGCTGTAATCTATACCCACGGATTGATCCCATTTGTGATTGCCCCTTTACAGTATGCAACTGTAAAGTTTCAACAAAGTGCAGAAAATTGATTTTTTTGCCTTAATTTAACCACGTAACCAAGTGAGATTGAAATCACATTTTCAAATGGGGACCAGGCCAAGAGGTCCGGGCAATACTTTCATATAATATAGAAACAATCAGCAAACAGCAGATCCTAATGAGGATTAGTAAAGGCAAATGCATGTCATCCTTGAACTATAATACAATCCTTGTAACGGTTTCCTCTCTCTATTTTCGTCCTCTGTCACATCTAAAGATCAGCTTTTTCAGTGAGAAAGAGCACGTCCCTCAGTCAGCCAATCAGGTCTCAGTTCAAAGAGCCAAATTACAAAAGCTCACAAAGCTCTTTCTTACAATAGTGCAAAATATAACCTGTTTTTGCATAAGATGAAGATGCCATGTTTTGTTCTCATTTGTTCACAGCATTTTATCTTTACAAGACTCTTTCTCTTGGGTCCAGCAACATGTGCTTCTAAAGTAGGTTATTTTACAAAAGCCTCTAGAAAAAAATATTGATTTTCAATGAATTTCAAGCCATACACATTAGAAAGAGTGTCTGTCAGTCTGGGTGGAAAAACATGTTTTAATAAGTTTGTGATCTGGTCTGTCAGAATCAGTCAGGTGCCCGTTGGACTGATTTTGGTTTTCACCCAAAATGACACCCAGGTGACATCCAGAGGACGCCCTGTCAGGCGTGGGACAGGACTGTTGAGAAAGTCTCCCACATGCCGACCACTGCTGCCATGTCAGTGTAACCCTCATTACTGAAGAGGTGTCCACGCCTCCGCTTGGAAATGCACACTGGAGGCTGCAGGCGGGAACTGATAAACGGGAGGCACAGATAACCGTGCGTTATTGGATTATTTTAGCCTTGCTAATGAGGTCACTACAAATGCATTGATTAGTTGCGATTAATTGATTACTAAATTGTGAGTCAACCCATTTATTATTTGAAGAAATATTATGCGGATTGTTGTATAGAAAATAGATTTTATTGCTGAAGTGATATTTATATCCATATTTATTATAATTTGAAACAGGTTCATTTACAGTTTTCTTGGATGTCTTCAAGTAGAACTGGGCGTAGTGTGTTAGCCTTCATTCACACTACACTGCATTCAACAAAACATTCACTCGTTCGCCCCGTGTGGCTCTGGGATTATTGCTCACCGTTTGCGTGATAATTTTGACCCCACAGTGTGGGATCTTGCGTGGAGCCTCGGATCGAGGGAGATTATTGGTGGTCTTGTACGTCTTCCATTTTCTAATAATTGCTCCCACAGTTGATTCCTTCACCACTGCTCATCTACTGCAGATTCAGTCTTCCCAGCCTGGTGCAGGTCTGCAACTTGTGTCTGGTGCCCTTTGAGAGCCCTTTAGTCTTTGACTGTTTGTGGGCAGGTGTCCTTTATATTTTAAAGAAGAAGTTACAGGTCTGTGAGGGACTAAATACTTATTTTCCACCAGTATTTGCAAATATTTCATTTTTTCTCAATATGTCTCTCATGATAAAGATTATCTCATCTTTCTAAATGGGAGGACTTGCACAATTGGTGGCTGACTGAATACGTTTTCCTCTGCACTGTAATTTAGTTTTAATATAAGGTATAAGAAGTACATTTTCTGGAAACAATTGATTTGACTTACGAACGTAAACAAAAATGATCAGTGAACTGATTCATATAAGCCTCTTTGGTTAATGTTTAGTTGTTAATTAATGTCTCCTTAATCTCAATAATGTCAAAATTATGTTAATTTTGAGTTACATCTTACATTGCTCTGCTTTTTACCCCTTTATTATATCAAAGCACTTATTTTAACTTGATACATTGTCTTGCAGCGTCAGCAGCGTCTCACATCTCCTGTTTTACAAGACAAATGGGTGTTAAGTGTGCAGATAGTTTGATTGCTGAAGGTTAAAAGTCCCTCAGTTGAGGCGTTGTGGTTGCTGACTTAGGCCCACATCCATCATCCCAGCGGCTGCAGAAATGAGAGCGCAGGTCGATACAGAGGAGGGGGTTCTGATGAGGAGGGATGACCATTGTGGAAGGTGTGGCCAGACACACAAGACCACAAGTGAAAAGAATAATGCACTATTGTCTGTTGTTACATTCTTTATGGAAGAGACAAAAAACGCATGAATCTGGTTAAGCTTTTGTTTTGCCGCACGGCATTAAGCTAGTATGCCCTGGTTGTACTTACACTTTCACCAATGTGTGTGTGTGTGTGTGTGTGTGTTTGGGGGGGTACACAAAGTACACTACAAGTTTACTACTTGCCACATGAATTCTCTTATCCCATTCCCATTAAATCTTGAAAATGTGAGACAGGATCAGTGAGGGGCTGCCCCCCCAACCCAGAAATGGATAAAGGAGAATGGATGGAAAGATGGATGGATTTTAATGTCTATTTCTTTGTTTTGTTAAGCACTTTGAGTTTCCTTATGTATGAACAAATAAATGTTCCTTGCCTTCCGAGAAAGACATTTCAGTTTCTTGAACAGCAATTTGCTATGTTTTTTTTTTTTTTTTTTCTGGAACAGACAAATCAAGTTCTGCAGTATTCTATTCAAATGCTGCTTTTTCAAAATTTCTGCAGTGGAAAAATATTGGAAAAAACATGCACAAATAAGAGCAACACAAATTCACACAGAGTAAAATAATAGTCCTCACAAAATATCGATCCGTGTCTTAATCACCCGTTGCACCAGAACCCTTCTCTCTTCATATTTACTGTAACTGTAAACCAGAGCCGGATGCAGAGTACAGTGTTCATGACTCTGCACTTTTGAACAAACCTCCCAGGAACGTGTCAATAAAAAGATAAGAACAATATGAGAAGCGGAGGCCTGAGGCAAACAGCCCAAGCAACCAAGCAATAGCGTTATACTGACGAGATGCTATTCAAACACAGACAGCATATTTTACATTGTAGATCTTCATTAAAAACATATGTATTTGGGGATTTAGGGCATTCTTTCATAATATTCATAACATTTATTTTGAGACGTATTTTAGGTTTGCCTGTTATACAACAAATGATAATGAATGAAAATCATGTATCATAATCTCACAAAATCACATTTACTGGTGGATTAAACAATAAAAAAATCAAGGTAGGGAAATATGTCTCTAAAATCAGAACCAGAACCCATGGCAACAAAATCGCCCGCCCTCACGACTTATGGATTCCAGTTTGAATAAATAAGCTGTGTATTAATTTATCAGTCTATAACTGAGCGGGCGGCACGGTGGCTGAGTGGATAGCACTCACGCCTCTCAGCAAGAAGGTCCTGGGTTTGAATCCCGGCCGGACCAGGGCCTTTCTGAGTGGAGTTTGCATGTTCTCCCCGTGTCTGCGTAGGTTTCCTCCGGGTACTCCGGTTTCCCCTACCACTAAAAATATGTATAATAGGATTGGCATGCGCCTCCTGTTCGGCAACCCCGCTCCCATCTCTCTGTGGAGTGAGAGGACAAGTGCCCAAAAATAACAATTGTAAACCGCTTTGTGACTCTGGTCTGTGAAAGGCGGTATATAAATAAAGATTACTTACTTAACATAAACTCAGTAGTGTAATGACAAATGTGAGTCCCGCCTCTTGTATACACTTGAGTCTGGGGTGGCAGAGTGGTTAGCACTGTTGAATCCCTCTCGAAACAGGGGCTGCAAACAAGTGAAGTTGCATGTTCTCCCAGTTGACATGTCCTCTGTCTGCATACTGTAGGTGTCATCTGGGAGCTCCAGTGTCCCTTACCACTAAATGTAAACGTACAATAGGTAAAATTTTGACCAAACCGAGCATCAACCTCTTAACAAAAAGAAAGAGTCTTGTAAAAGTATGGTTTTGGAAAGAAATCAGACCAAAACATGATGGCTTTATCCTATTACAAAAAAATAATATTTGGCACACTTGTAAGAACAATCCATGGGAGTCACCGTGCAAGGCTTTGGGTTGAGAGCTGATTGGCTACGTGAGGTGATCCTCTTTTTTTTCACTTTTTTGTCTGAAAAAGCTGTTCAAATGATCTGACAGCGGCTCAAAACACATGGACATGAGAATTGGTAATAGAACCAAACTGAACCAAACAGAGCAAGGAATTATTCTGTGAAATTTATAGTGGTTTGAAAGTTAATGACCCCAGATTAAAGCCACATTTTTAGCTTCTCAACCACATATTACAGCTTAGAGTTCCCAGGCTTTGCATTGGTTAATATTCAGTTTCTCCCGGTGTTTTAAAACTTGCCATTGTCCGAAAAATTTCCACTGCATGAAAAACCATTTATGTCAAAAGCATAGGCTGTATACATGTCTGCTTTTCGAACATTGGGTCTGTATAATAAGTGTTTTTGACAGTTTGTGTAGAAATTATATCACCCGATCACCACAAAAAACAGCCTCCATCTTATTTCTGCATTTCCATCAAAATCCTTTTAGCACAATTTGAATCTCGCGTTTCTTTGTGCTAAAATCTCAAGGCAATTCCAGACACTGAAGAAATTGTTACTTTCCATTCTCCATCTTTCCACTTTACTCACAAAAAAGGTTATATTGTAGGGGGGAAAAAAGATTGAAAACACAAACAATGAACGGCCAGCGGAGGTGTGTTTACTGCCGAAATGATTGCAATGGATTTTTTATGCCTCACTTTTCAGCAATGTCATTGTGGGAGATAATCCAAAATAAACCCATTGGCTGCTTACCTTTTTGACTTTCCCATAGGCTTTAGCTAACACAGATCATCCAGACGTGTTGGTGTGCGAAACCCAAACAATTTTAGGCTCTAAATAAACTTGTATTACCTCCGAGGGAAGGATTTATCAGATCAGTGCTTAAAGTTGTTTCATAAACTTTTTTTTGTTTTCATTCAGATAAAGAATGTGTTGTATTTGTCTCAACTTAAGAGTCTTGGACAAGTATAGGGTGCTGCATTTTTGGCACTTTTGGCTGAGAGCAAGAGTGGTCTTCTCTTTTTCACTTTTCTGTCTGTAAAAGCTGTGACTCACACCAAAAATGAAGGTGAAAGCTAGAGTTAGAAACACTAGAAACACAGAAAAAAATGTTTTACATTGTCAAATGTGTTTGCAGTCTAAAAAACAGTTATCCTAGCTTTAGATGAAGACTCTGATATCATTGATTATTTATCTCCGCACGGATCAGTAGAGCATCAGTCAGTATAAACGGTTGGATCATAAATCTGTTCTTTGAGATAGATTAAGATCATTTCTTAATTAGGCCTTGCAATTGATGTAAAATGAATGTATACTGCACGATATACACCAAAAATGAGTTTTTATGAATACAAAGTCCTACTGTAGTTACCTTCTGAATAGATACAGTTACTGATGCAGAAGGTCCAGTATTGGGACTGAAAAGGACGGATCTCTATGGAGCTGCCAAGTGTCCACCCACCACCAGGTTCCGGAAGGAGAAAATACATACCCTCATTCACGTATAGGGATTTTAAAAAGAAAAAATAAACATATTATTGTGGTACATTGACCACAAACTTTTATATTGATTGCATATTGAAAGTATATTCTTTAAACCTACTTAAATACTGCAAAGTGAGGCACATTTTCAAACAATTTTTAGGTTCTTCAAACACTCAAAAATTGCATATATCAAACTCTTAAGGGGATTTTCTATGTATATTTTACTTCCTGGACTCGAGCGGAGGGCTCCATTATTCATAATTGCAGTATTCAGTAGAAATTGTCGATACAGTGGCATATGTTTGACTTTGTGAGCTGTGACCAGCTGTTCGTACAAGAGTGGTCTGAACGGTTTGGGACAAAGACAAATTGAATTGAGTTGAATGGGTGTGTTCATGCAGAAGTACTGACAGTGGTTAAAATGAAACACACTACAGAAGTTGTATGCTGTTAAAAAGTGGATGCATCTTGCCGCATGTATCGTCCATGTCTCCGGTGAACCAACAGACAAGAATTGACTTAAATTGCATAAACATGTTTTCTCTCTGGGCAGACAGAAAGCGTAATTCTACTGCATTATTTACAAAGCTTCAGCATGTTGGTGGAGCATGATGGGTGTGGACAGGCCTGTTTTTGTATTTCTTTTGCTTAAAAAAGAGAGAAATAGAAATGACTGAACAATTTCCCGGTGGTTTGGAAACATCTTTGCAGCGTGGTGCCAAAGTAATTATTAACAACTGCGCAACACACTTTGGAGAAACACATTTGAGGCCCAGGCGCTGCAATTATTATAAACAAACCATTTATTTTAACACAATTACAAAAAATACCTCCTGGACTGTTCCGTCTAATCATAAAAGCATTTGTTTTGCATCCACCACTTTCATGAAATGTGAAAATCAAATACTGCTTGACTCTAAATCAAAGGCACTGTCCTGCTTCTCATTAGTATGTTGATCAAGGACAGCTTCATGTTTGTACTGTGGATTACTTCATAGCCAAACGATTGCTGGGTCTATGTGAAGTTTTTGTTTATTTGCTTTGTGTGTTTGGGTTTTTCTCATCAGCCCAAAATGCAACCAAGCTCAGATTCTTATTGCGAAGAAATGCTCCTACAGAATTATACCTGATGACAGAGAAAGCAAGAATGACATCTTCTTAATCATCTCGGACACATAATGGCTACATATGCATAACATTTGAAATCTCATTATTGATAAACACTAATTTACAGCTTTTAGTTTTGGAAGCGGAACTACTTAGCCTGTAAAAAATTTTTGGTCTTTGGGTCTTTTTCTGTATTTATAGTTTATGTATTATATGATTATTATTTTTTTTTTTATGCAAATAGTTCTAGCTTTAACTCCCAGAGCTCTATTCATTTTTATTGAATTTTGAGCAACCAACATTCTGAGGTAGTTTCTTAAGGTACTGCTTCTGGACTGATCCTGGTTCATTTCCACCAGAAAACGGCGAGTGTTGGTTACCATAGCAACTCTCTGTTTACTTGCCGGACGTTAGCATTGAGTGGCCTTTCAACTGTTGTTTATTTCAAGGTATATCAGCTCTTGAGCACTACTGAGCACTAAATGACTTATTTGAGAGAATT